CTTGATGTTAAGGAATGGATTCAAATATGTGATCGTTATCAATTTTTGAAATGTCTTTATATTCTAAAAATGAGAAGATATTTTCCTATGGATTTAAAAATAACTTTAAGGATTGAATTAATTTTATATTGTTATTATATGGAGCTTATTTTTTTTCCGTGTTTTTCTACATTTTTTCTGTTTTTTCTTTTTATTTTAGTTACTGCACTACAGGTAGTCCTCAACTTACAACCATTCGTTTAATGACCATTCAAAGTTATGATGGCGCTGAAAAAAGTGACTTACAACCAGTCTTCGCACTTATGACTACTGCAGCATCCTCATTGTCATGCGATCAAAATTCAAGTGCTTGGCAACCAGAATGTATTTACAACAGATGCAGCATCCTGGTGTCATGTGACTGCCATTTAAGACCTTCCCAGCTGACTTCTGGCAAGCAAAGTCAATGGGTGAAGCAGAATTTGCTTAACAATCATGTGAGTTGCTTAATGACCGCAGTGATTCGCTTGATGACCACAGCAAAAAAGGTCGTAAAATCAGGTGTGACTCATTTAACAACCGCATCACTTAGTGACAGAAGTTCTGGTCCCAATTGTGGTCGAGGACTACCTGTATATGTATTTCTTTACTGTATTATCACTAAAACATTAGTATTTTTGGTTGGTTGGTTTTTTAACTTTTCAAAATTTTTGTTAGTGAAGTATAACAAACATAATTTCATCAACTAGCATCTCTGAATCTAATCACAGGCAATAATGCAGAATACCTGGGCCTGGAGGGAGAGAAGTGTAAGCAATGATAATGTTCATTCACTAAAGCAGGAGAAGATTTCTAATAACCCAAACACTTGAAAATAGATTTCAAAGTTGACTTCTGGTGTCAAACTATGGTATGGAGAATTGAAAATGGCTCTATGAAAGCAGAGCCAACAACTATGGCAAAGACCAAGGAACCTTATCCAAAGACTGGTTCCTTGGAACCTCTTTGGATAAGGAGAGGTCAGGAGAATGCCCACAGGTGCTCCAGATAGCTGGCCCTCATGAGGAGACAGCAGGACAGCGGTTTTCTCGGGTTTGAGTGTCAGGAGATGATGTGGCAGAGACTTTTAAAGGACACTAAGTTTGCAAACCTCACTCTATAATCACTTTTGGAAATTTTGCATTAACTACTTCTAAGGTACTAGAGAATTTCGGAACAACAACTTTGAAAATGCCGGGTGAGCCTGCCTTCAATCCTGAACAAAAGAAAAATTTAATCATAAGCTTAAGAATTTTAAAAATCTGAAATAAATAGCAAAAAGCTAAATAAGATTTTTATCTTAGAAAGTTATAAATGGACTAAAGGTCCAGATAAAATTAGAATATTGAAACTTTTACAATAAGATTTTGGAATTAATTATAAAGAGCAAACAGTTTCTCATGGGAAACAAATTCTGTTTTGGTTTTTCAAGACGTAACAAAGATAAGCAATTTCATGATTTCAAACACAGGACACTAGAGGGGACTAAAGTTTTTAAGTAAAGGAAAGATTTACAAGCCTGTAAAATGATGCAAAATGTTATAACAATAAAAATACTAAAGGAGACTTTGAAGAATGGAATCAGAAAATAGTAGCCACAATATCAACAATGTCAGTAATGATGTCTGTTTCTATGGATTAGACTATGTCCAAAAGTTGTTATTGAAGAAATGACAGCTGTAGAACAAATTTTATCTGACAAGATAGAGATGGTATCGAAAGTGGATTTACTACTGACAGACCAAGAGAATAACTTAGAAAAGGATGTTTCACTGGATCTACAAAAGAAACTGGCTAAAATTTAAAAAGAGAAATATAAATGACAAACCAAAAGAGTGACCTGAATAATTTTTTCCTACTGGATTTACAAAAGAGGCTTGTTAAAGCCTTGAAGAACTCTGTGCA